TTTCCAGCTGCATTCAAAAACAGTGAGGAATGGGCTGAAAAGAGAGAAAAGAGTGGCATGCATTGGCACTTCAGTGCGTGGACAACAAAGTAGTTTCAGTTTTAACAACTATAGATAAAGGTGAAAATCATGGTCTGGTCAACAGGAGACAAAAGACAGCTGGTGTTTGGAAAACAAGGGAAGTTTTGCAACCTAAAGCTTTATTTAACTGCAACAAGTTTATGAATAAGGTTGACCGATCTGATTAAATTTTAACTGAGCGAAGGTTAGCAATGAAGAAATTAGTAAATGGAATGATGCACCTGATGTAAAAGTAGATGCGAATGTTCATGTTGAAAATCTCGAAGAATCGGTTGACAAAAAGAAAAACCGAAGCAGAAACCCATGAGCGAGAAGAGAAAATTCAGTTTGAAGTAAAACTGCTGGAGACAAGGATGACTTGTCTCCTGAAGTAATACATAAAGTAAAAATACTTAAAATATTTCACATAAAATAAGACTCAAGACTTTGTGACTACGGATGTCACCAATTATGGGGGGAAAAAATTGGAAAATTAGACTTTACTGGCAAGGACACACAGGTAAAAATTGTCAAATTCATTATTTACCGTAAACTTATCTGCATTTTCTTATGTACAGTGTACTTGAAGATTTTGCTGATTTAACTCAACTACTGGTATATGACTATGATACTGAGTTAAGATTGAAAGTGAAATTATTCAACTAAGGATAAATTTGAACCACAGCATATACAAGCATGAACCAGAATTGAATAATTTTATTTTTTCTCCTCATCTTTACAGACAAGAATTGGGAGACACCCGCCTGAGGCTGGCACAGCTCTCCCGCAAAAACAGTTCTTTCTATCCAGGTAGTCTGTTCAGGCAAGATGCAAACACCCAACTGTCCTCCCTTCTGATGATAACAAGGGTCCATCTTAAACAGTGGGAACACAAACAAGGTCAGAGACATACCAAGGAGCCAAAGAAATACACGGGGCTGACTTAAATGATAATACTCCAGGACACATAGGTCTTATTGGTACTGCTGAGAGAAGATGCCCTACAAAGATACTAGTTGATTTCATGTCTAAAAGTATGAAGTTTTCCAAAAAGGCTTTTCCTGACTTTATGAGAATGCTGCAGAAACATTCGAAACTTTAGACATAAACATGCTCAGAGGTGCTTGTGTCATCTTTTCAAAGGGGGTTATGTGTAAGAAAAAGTAGAGATCTGTGTACAGATCTCTTTCAATGACCACCAATTCTAATAAAAAAAAAATTACAAAAACCCGCATTTAAGTAATGTCATGCCTCTTGCCTTGGTTGTTCTCTATAACAAGCTAGTCAAGTTTCTCAGTGAAGTTGGCATAGGGACCTTAAAGAGTGTTAGGGAGAGCTTTGTTCTGATTTGGAGCCTCAGGATCAGGTTGAAGGCTGTTACAGAAATTTAACAGAATGTCTTGTTAGATTAGCATCTTTTTATCTGACCACATTGAAAGCAGAAGATTTTGATTGGTTCAGGGAACTAAACACTTTCCAAGTAGCCATTGGTGGAGATGGCCCCCTTTGGAAAATTTGACCAGCCTTGTGCCTGGCTCATAAGTTTTCTAAATGTCGGCCACAGGTTTCTGAGTAATGAGGACATCTTTTTGATCTTCGTTAGTAACTGTTCAGAACAAAGTACTGCAGCTAAAAGGTACATTGCAATGATTGCTAAGGAAATGGAGCAAATAGAGAAAGGCTCAGTTAATGTTAATAATACTGTCATTAAATTTACCTTTTGAGAATTCCCCAATGAGATAAAAATGTTGGCTTTTCTAACTGGGGAGCTTCTGAACAGTGCAAAGTATTTTCAACATTTGCTGACATTTCAACTGATAACTTGTGTGATGTAAACAAGTCATTTGGCTCAGAACTTCATAATGATTTCAGGCCATGGGGAATATCATAACAGACTATCTGTTTCTAATAAAGTTGGTGACCTCAAGGGTAAATTAAGCAAGACTCAGCTTTCAACAATAAACGCAGCAAAGTAACAGCATTTATTGCATCTCATATTAGTTGCCAGGAGTTTGAACCTCTCATTGATTCATTGACAGGGCACATGTAGATCCTCTAAATTTAAAGAATAATTCCTGTCAGCATATTTACAAGATAATGCTACATGAAGCCATCCAAAAGTCTGCCCTTGGAAGTAATGTCACAAATATGAGTGGGGTACCCTGTGATTCTTCATTTTCAAAGTTTGTACAGGCACTTAAATCTAAATGATTCAATAAAACCAAAGCAGATGGGAAAGACTTTGAGTGTAGATTTACAGGCAGAGATTCCAGGATGTATTTGCATAATGTTTATTCACCTAGTCGAGTCTTTGGAGTCACCTGCAGATACTGCAAGGCAAACCTTCAGACTGCACACCTTTACATTTGTGAGCTTGCAACTAAGAAATGCAGTGTCTTTATTCGGTGGAATGACTATCCATGATGATGAAATTAAAGAGCTGACTTCTTACTGCACCAAATATTTCAGGGCTTATAGTTTGTTTCTTAGGACTGTAAAACCAACTACATCGACAATAGGTCACATTGTATGCATAGCATACTAAACAAGTAGTTTCTGATATATTGGTTAAATTATGAAGTGTTGTTACTTTGGGTTAGCTTAGGTTCTCTTGCCTTTGGCAAATGGGGTAGTATTATGCAGCCTTGGCAGGAAAAGGTAAAAAAGTTATGAACCAGCTAAAGGTCCTGACCAAAGCCTTCACTTAACAATGCTGCCCACCCAGCAAAATAGTAAATATTCATGAACAGAAAAAAAATAGGGATGTATTCGGCAACTCAACATGCAAAGCAAGCAGGATGGGAGAATAGTGTCTGTTCTCTGAACTAATCAGATCCCAGGAATGAATGTGTACAACAAAATGTGTAGAATAACATGCTCATACACCCATATCTGAGCTGTACTATGGGGATTTAAGTATTCTCCTCTCTTGAGGTTAGTGAGTTTGCACAGTTGTATGTTCTTTGAAGGAAGCACTAAGAGTTACTAGACTCCACTGGTGATTTCTTTCCAGTTCTTTTCAAAAACTTCTATATTTGCATGTGCTGCTTATCTGTTGGTGTCTATAGTAATTTAACTCAATTGTCCATTACCAACCAAAGCAGAAGATTATTGAAGTGAGAGGAGATTTCAACAATGAATTGAGTTAATAACTTCAATTTTACTTTCCCCTTTTTACCTTGATCACACGATCAAGGTGAACTCTAAGAATACCAAAATTGGTCACTGTGGCGTGGTGTGGTGACAGTGACATTTATATCATGTGACCTTTGCTGCCCTGTGCTTTTGAGAGTCTGCCATCTTGCCAATAGAATTTTTGTGTTCCTGGAATCTCCGGTGTTTTCTTCTCTTGTGAAGCTACTACATGTGGAAGTCAAATTCATGCACAGAATTCATCAGAGAAATTTAGGACAGTCACTTGTTCATGACGTGGGTGTGTCAAAAAGAGTCCTTAAGGAAAAGGTAAGTGAATCCACTTTGCTCTGAGTGTTTGATTGAAAAGAATCTCTCTTTAATAACAAATACATGTTATACCTTACTTAATCATTGTTTTAGAATGCATATTTCATCAAGTGGAAGGGCTACTTGAGCCTACAAAACTCTTGGGAGCCAGAGGAGAATTTAAATGCCTTTGCCTTGAGGTAAGATCTTATGAGTGACTAACCGCTTTATAATTAAACAAAAAAACAAAAAAAAAAGGAAGAACCATTACATTGGTTTTCTCTGTTGATATTCTGTGCTTGTATGTAATCATTTGCTATCTAATGTAAAAATCATAATACCATCTTTTAAGATGAATGTTATTTCCCAGCCCTTAGGTCATTCAACAACCCAAGGCTCACACAGCAGGAGATTGCTGATGTCAGTGAGGGTCTCCACATTAGCATTTTAGAGCAGTTAAAATTAAAGTCTCAATTACCCACTGTCATTGCTTTTAACCACACTTATTTTAACTTTTTGATCAAAGATAAGGGATGAAAAAGCAATGACAGCACGTACATCTTCCTTGAAAAACAGGATTTTATAAGATGCCACTTTCCTAATGGGTGGCACAGGCTAATAGGTAGTGTAGGGGATGGGGTGCAGATTGACTTTCCTGTGAAGGTCAGACTGTTTTTTGTCATGGAGTCCAAAGACTTATACCTTGACAGGGGAGTCAATTACACCTTGCCCACAATATAAGCCAAAGAAATTGAGTGTTTCCTTTTTGTAGAGCAGCATGTAGCCTGACATGAGACAAATTAAAGAAACCAAGACTGGATTTGATTCTATTTGGCATTGTGTATTTATTACAAAATAGAAAATCTCTGTTTTTGTAGTAGTTCATTACATATTCTTATATTGATTTAAATTTTTCATATTTACCACCAAGAAATACACACAGTGTGCAGGCTGTTTTACAATTTGTTTAGTAAGTAGAAAGGACATGAGAGTAGACCTTCACTTCCTTGAATGCCAGCTTTAAGAGAACTTTTTTAAAATCCAAAGAACAAAAATCAATGGTTTTGAAGTATTTGAGATTGCTATCCCATTCACTGTTGTTTTTGTTCTATTTTTTCAATACTGATTTTTCTCCACTGTTCAGTGCTGTGGTGGTCTACTGAAACTACCCCAGTTTTTTATCTTTATGAACTTTGCACCAGACACAAGCATAGAATGAGGTGGCACCTTTAAGTCCCAACATGATTAAAATGAATTTATAATCTCCCCCCAAAAGAATTCAAGTGTTATTTCTTTCCCATTAATTGTGATTTTGTTTATGGAATTTAGATCATTTATATCTGAAAAAAAAATCAGCAAATGACTCTCTCAGTATTTCATACTTTTCTGAACCTTCAGAATGGCAATTGTACAATTTTCCCCTTGCAGACATTAAATCTCTATAATTTTGCAACAGGGCAAAAGAAAGAATGATAAAGCTTGTATTGAGAGTCATCCTTGCCCCATCCCCTGATATTTTAACCTTTACTCTTTCATTTTCAAAATCAAATTCTGGATTTTGGTTAATTAAATCTTGCACTCTTTCCTTGAGAAGTTCTTGAATGAAACTTCAGCACCCTCAGCTCTCCCAGGTGTGGATATAATATGGCTCATGTCATGCCATTGCTTGATTAGATATGATTTTGGAAGATCATCATTAATCATGGAGAGCTCATGATAAAACAAGTCTCCTACAAAAAATTTGTCTAAAAGAAATAAAATTTGATCCAATTTTTCCTTTTCCTCTTTTAAAAGGGAGTCAAGCCCTGTAGCAGTGTTTTCTTGTTGCTCATCACTGACCATTTTTGCATTGTGTTTGCTTCCAGTCTTGACTTCTTTCGTGGCAATAGACTCAACTTCTAGTCCAACGGACTTAGCAGACCACAGTGCTATCTGAGCTCTTGTCATAAAGTCTTCAAAGCCCTTGACTTTTTCTCTAACTCAGAAATGTCCTTTCCCCAGTAGTCTTGCAGAGTTCTCTGCTGGCATTCAATGTAATCAATTAATTCTTTATTTGAAGTCTCAACTTGTTCTACATCACTTTAAGTGTCCTTATCTCAGCTAGCATTTCATGAAACATCTTTCTCTTTTCTTCCTCCAAATTTTCCTAGTTTGATATCCACCCTTCTATTTCTTCATGCGGGGAAGAGTTAAATTCCCTTAGTTGTTCGCGATGAATACTACAAATCTTCAACTTTTCGGGGATCAGAGAGAATACCACATTCATCCAAAAAAGTGGCACAAAATGAGAGATAAGAGACCCCTGTTCGTAGCACGATGCTCGCAAAGTCGAAGTTAGGCAATTTCAGCCAATTTACTGTGTTTGTATGGAAGTGCAATTCGACTCTTACATGGGATTTGCGTAATTTGTTGGGGATCAAAGACGAAACAAGTGTGAACCTCGAAATTTCGTCCAAAGCAATAACTCACTAACACGATAACACACCGATGCTCGCACGTACGAAAATTATCTTCATTTGGTTTATACAGCGACTGGACAGCGCGCGCAAATGCCGCAAAACACGTGGGTGGTACAGAATTCAGTCAGTAAGCTTCAAGTGCGACAAAATGACAAGTATAATGCTGTTAAGTAACAAAGCATGACACTGAACGTTATACCTTACCTTAGTGAGCTTGTCTTCGTGCACTCCTTCCAAAAATCCAAGATGGCGCCAAACGTTTCGCCTCAAAAGCTTTATTCTTTTAGAATCTAACCGAAAGCGTCTGCTAGAAAAGAATTAACCATATTCACTTCAGCCCTGAGACATGCTTTGAAAGCTGCGAATTGAGCTAGGATACAGGATTGATTACTGAGAATTTAACGTCACAAGACGTCCCAAAAATTTTAACTAACCGTGAATCGGATGCTTCACCTCCTTCGCTGATAAATTGGTTTTAAGTTTATAACGATTGGTTGAAATGATGACCAGAATACACAAGAATGTATCTTTCGATGCAACCGCCTCGGTTGGCGAGAAATGGATGTGTTTTTTCCCAACGCGCACTGCACTACCACCAGACTGATTACGCGAAAACGAGGCGCTACCAAGAGACCCCTTGTTCGTTCCAGTCTCTCTCACACTCACCACGTACCCAGGCTGCCACGTAACCATAAACTCTGGGAATTAGTCCTTGTTCCAAAACGTGGTGTGTTCTACCAATACTCATAGCTTTTCTTTTTTTTCTAATCAATACTGATAGAAAGACTGAAAATTGAAATTCTTTTATGAAGTGTGTGACAAAATAATCTTACTCTTATCAGGATGCAAAATTAGTTTGTTAAAAGCTTGAACAAGGAGAAACAAAGGAAAGTTATTATTCATCAGTTGCTAAGGGAGGAACCAATGTTGGAAAAGAAACTTTTGGCTTTGGCAAACAACTTTGCATGCATTTTAATATTTGACATATTTTTTTGGAGACTTTAATTTAAAATTACATTGTTTTGTTTGAGGTGAGAGCAACAAAATAAATAAAAGAAAAAAAAACACTGAAAAAAGTTGGCTCTTGAAGGTCTACTGTATCCCTTTTAAGTCACAGAGTCTTACGAGTGCAGAACTGAATGGCTTACAGCCAACACACTGGCCCCACACCTGTCAGTTTTTTGTTAAATCTGTGCGAGGGACATGTGAACTTGTGAACTCACGGACACGCTGTGCAGAAAACAATTGTTTGTAGGCAATGACCATGATATGCGTCAGGTCAAGTACAAGTTGGCAAAGTAAATTTTATATCTAATTCTTACTCTCCTAAGAATTGAAAGTAGTTAAAATTACAATTGAAAGGTTATTTTAGTTGCAACTCACCTATTTATTGTTTGGTCATGGGAGAAGAGAGGGAGCATAGGGTCTGGTTGTATCAAATTAAATCTACTTGATAACCCCCTTAAGGCTCTTCTGTATTCTAATGACTGCCACTTATTGGCAGTCAATTGACTGTAGTTCCCCCTTTACACTGTGTTAACGATGAACGATCCCCTTCCATTCCCCCTGAAAACCATGTGATCAAATAAAATTCAGATCAACCAGAATGCCTTTGCTGATCAACTATCCACACATTTTTCTCACTTTGAATTCTGGACATTCATTGCAACTTGTGAATAAAAATCTTTACATCGCACTTTTTACTAAGTAATCTATATTAACTGAACTTTAGTGCTAGACACACTTTAACAACACGGTTATTCAATTTTGGGTGCAAAAGCATGGTCAAATACTCTACTTGTCTGTCTCAAATCATGTGTGAACCAACAGAAGCAAGTGACTATTTATAAGAATTATTATTAATAACTTTTACTTCTTTAGTTGTTGTTTCATCTGTAATTCAAAACTACAAACCAAAGTGATTATAACCCAACAACTCACTATGCACAACCATTAACCCTTAAGAGAGACTGGCATCTAATTTCTCCACACCAGATCACCCCTGAATAAGACATCAAAGTCATGAGAATAAGGGAAATGATCAAAAACTAAACAAGTTCTTGATTGTTAAAGAAATTCTCCTTTTCAAAACCTTAGAGAATGTGTAGAAAATTATGGAGAAAATGCATACTGATGTTAGGGTGTAAAGAGTTAATTTAGAGACCTGAAAGACTCCAAGGTGAGCCTCTTCTTTCAAAGGGGTGGATAATGCCATGCAGAGGTTTTCTGGTCACTTTGCCAGCATTTAAACTCTTCCACAACCAACTTGCCAACACCATTAGTCAACTTGCCAACATACAGGTCAAACTGCTGACATACCAAGTAAAGCCTAAACCTCAATCGCTCAATCCAGAATTGATAATCAGTCAGAATAAAATCAATGACTTCTTAGAACAAACAGCAAATTTTAACTTCAATAAATGTATTTTATGCCTGTTATCTTGAGTTATAAGAAAGGTTAAGTGACAAAATATTGAGTTGAAGGAAGTTTCCCATGAGTTGGCAAGTGGCGTTCGCCATAAAAAGTTGGCAACAGCCACACCTATTAGTGCTGTTTGCTACAGAACATTGCATTACAAATGACTATAACATCACCAACTGGCCAACAGTCTATTTCACAAAACATCCCAATTTTCAGATTAACCTTCAACAACAAGGAAAAGGTAGTAAATAGTTACAGATTATTAATTCTTTCATTTCTTTTGCTCATGTAGATCTCATGTTCTGGGGTAACATGACTAACAAAATCAAACAACAAATATTGCAATAGAAAATATAAAACATTTGATTGCTACCACTATCATGTCACAAAGGTTTTTGAAACCATTTTTAAATGTGCTCTTGTTAAAATGTCCTCACAATGACATAGAGAATGGTGGTGAACAAAAGCAGTGCAGACAGTTTTAAATCAATTCATAATAAATCCAGGATTAACATACAAGGCAGGATTGTTGAGGACAAACTGATAAGCATTAAAACTGGATAACCTTTGTGTGTGGTTCTAACTCAACCATATCAGGTCTGGAAGTGAAATTTCACTCCTAAATACTAGCTAAATGATTAAAACCATTTGAACACTAAAAGCTGCTGGTCTACAATGAGTGTGTAAAAACCCAAATCCTCTGACTCAAATCTTAAACTTAAGCCCAGAGTTGTGTTTAAGTCATTGCCACTCCCACAAAATCTGCAGATTTGAACTGCACTGCAGACAGTTTTGTACTTGCTATAGTGAAACTCCATTTGCAATCTGTCCATTTTTAGCAATGTCCTTTTGATCCACTGAGTATCTGTACAGTTTAAGGTCATATTTGCAGTCGGTAAGTTTATTTGCGATCAACAAAGTTTGATTTTTCATTCTTTAGGAGGTCTAAAACCAAATCCGAATGCAAAAATCAAGTTGCCTTCTCTAAAAGCAATGCTTGTTTAAAAGCAATGCTCAGTGAAAAGACAATGAAACAGCTATTGTTTGGTTGGGTTAAGTTAAGTATTTTCAAGACACTAAAACTCTATATGAGGGTTATGCCCTAAATGTACAATATACTCTAAATTAATAGCTTCAATTTTTAACTACTGAGTGACATTAAAAGAACAGGTGCTATATAAATAACCTACAATGTTTTGTTATTAGTAACAGACTCTTCTTCTGCTTATCAAGCAAGAAGTTACACTTTCATCCAATAAATGTAGAGATGCATGAATCAAACATTAAACTACTCCGTAGATACTCATGCAATAATCTACCCTCAAGATCTATCTTAAGGTGGGTATAAAAAATTATAAGGCAACAATTATAGTACATGTAGCTAGAGTGTATACACACACCAAAGCTGCTCTCTTCAATAATTAATGTTTATGATTGGAACAAAGCCAGGTCAATCCATCATATAAGCCATCACCAGATGTAGCACACGACGGCTGGACATACCAATTTCTGTCTCTTAGCTTGGTTAGGTGTAATCTTTCTTGAACTTCATGAGGTTTGATAGCTGTGAGCAAAATGCATTAAAGTAAGTTTTAAGCCTTTGACACCTTAGAGTGACAGCATCTAATTTCTACTTACAATATCATACCTGAATGACACATAAAGGTTCCGAGAATAGGGAAATGATCACTAAAGAAGCTTTTGACTGTTAAATAAGTTATTATTTTCAGCACCTTAACAAATATGCAGAGTATGCTTGACAGTATGGAGAATATGCCTCCTGATGTTAGGGTGTAAAGGGTTAATGGTAGTTTGGTGCATCAACAATTCAAAGAACCTTTCTCATTCTCATGAACTTCTACTTCTTTTTCACAAAATGCACAACAAGGAATTTATTATGGTCTTAGCTAAGTTTGAGTAATCCCATTACTAGTTGGCTGAATGATGTATAACATTATTGAAGGGGGGATGTTATATGTTAGTCACTTCTGGGAGTTTAAGGGTTAAGAAAAGACAAGCCACTCACCATCTGGCAAGTCTTGTTTGTTTGCAAATATTAAAATTAGGGCATCCTTCATCTCCCTGTCATTGACTATCCGGTGAAGTTCTGTTCTTGCCTCATCAATGCGGTCTAAGTCTGCACAATCCACTACAAATATCAAGCCCTGGGTACCATTATAATAGTGGCGCCATAGGGGCCGGATCTTGTCTTGTCCACCAACATCCTGAAATAAATTGTTTAATGCTCAAGATTGCTGGTTTTTAATAACAGTACAACTTTTGCTATTTGAATCAATCATTAAAAAAAAGTAATTAATAACTAGAAATGAGCTTTGAATTCTAACTTGAGGATATGGTAGACCTTTGCAAGTGTCCTTTGTGCAAAAAATTGTTGATGCACTATTTGAAGTGTGACTACATGTACCATAAACAGTATGTAAATGAGCCCTTGTCTGTTTAGGTGAAATATTTTTGCCCTCCTCATAAAATTTTTACAATTTTTTCTCTCACAGCCCTCCTTTCTTTTGTCTTTTATCAAAGGACTCTTCTCCTTTTACATTTCCCCATTGACAGTCTAGTCTGGGACATGGAAATTGAAATAAAGTTTACCATGTGCAATTGAGATCATGAGATGTTTCTGCAATTAAAATTTAAGAAACAGGATGTTTTGCAGCCAAAAAAATCTTGGGAAGTCATTTATATTCACAGGTTATAATTGGTTATTCACACTTGGGCAGGATTAGGAAATTAGTTTGCAAATATATTTGTGAATAACTTGCACAGGTTTCAACATTTTACAAAACTTTTTTTTTTGAAATTGTAGTTCAAAAAAATAATAATATAATAATGATAACAATTGGCCCTTGAAGGTCTACCATGTCTATATAGATGGAGCCAAACAGGTTAGAGCCAATATGATGTAAAATGACAAATTATATCAATGGCTAACAAAGATGGTTCTAGGATTTGCAAAGAAATGTTTGGATTTGAAACTGAACTGCTGTTAACCTATTAACTCTTAAGATCTCATTGGTAATTCTCCTTACAGTCTGCTATATAGTTCTTGTGATGTTAGTTTGGAGAATTTGGTATTGGATCGACATATAATCCCCTAATTCAGATTCTTACTTATTCTCATTACTTGCCTGCTTGATATTGTATTGATATTATAAGGAGAAATTCTGTCTTAGTCACTCGTGGGAGTTAAAGGATTAACAATTCTCTCACTGCCTACACCTCTTCCTCTCTGAGGACCCTGAATGTGCTTACCTCAGTACACTAACATAACACTTACCCACACATTGAATTTGACATTCTTGTACGAAACAGTTTCCACATTAAAACCTACTGTTGGTATAGTTGTTACTGACTGCCCAAGCTTAAGTTTGTATAAAATTGCTGGTAAAATGTTAAGGATAGGTATCCTGTATCAGTTATACTTATGTATCGCTACTGTTAGTTTTGACTGAAAAGAAAACCAATGGTCATGCCTGTATAAAGAATTTGTACAAAGAACAACCTGCCACAAGATTTGTCAGTAAGGAAAGTTTCAAGGTTTTGTTTTAAGCTTCTTTTATCTTTAACTCATGCTAAATACTTCCTCAGATAATGCTGAAAGAGCAAACAGTCTGCTTTTAGCCAATTGCACCCTTGGAGATGAAGTTTAATAATGAAGTTTCTTGTAATTAGTGTATTGTGAGATAACATGGTTAATCACAGTTTAAAGCAGCCCTGACTAGTAAACTTTGATGACCTGAGACACACTGAAAATGATTTTTATTCTATATCCTTTATCATTTTATGTTTTTTAAAATTATTTTTAACATGCAGCTCAGGGAAATAAATGAAATATCATCTGATAACCAAATCAATTTAAAAATAACAATTTAAAAATGAAAATATAACAGTGACGAAAGGATACTGGTTTTTCCCGCAGCATCAAGACCTAACATCAAAATTCTCATCTCCTTGTTACCAAATATTTTTGATAATAGCTTCCCCATGTTGACACTTAGGCAAAGCCTGTAAATGGAAATGAAACACAAGCATTTTTAGTTTTTGAACATTCAATCCATTTTCCTGTGTACGTCCTGTTTTTTATTCCAAATCCCAGAGGTAGTAAATAAAGTAAAACTTTTCAGCTGCTGCATAGGATTAGTGGTAATTACCAAAACAATTCACAACAAAAATTACCATGTGTGCTGCTGGCTTTAGTATAGGTAGACACAGAGCCAAGAAAAATTACAGATAAATACCACACCTGCTTTCAGAAGTTGAAGAAATTACCCAAGTTGCACAGTAAAGAGGGCAATTTCTGCAACTCCTGATAACACAAACAATATTAATCCTAACTTTTACAAGAAAACATATGATTACTTGTTTGTAATATAAGGCACAAATTTTTCTCCAATCAGAAGGTCAAATGTGCATGCTGTTGTACAATATTGTAAGACGCCATCTCAGTTTTCAGTTGGAATCAATGAATGTAAAACAAGCAAATCAGCTATATGAAATTGCATTTTTATACAGCGATGCCATAGATAAAACCAGCCCTGCTAAAATATTTGCCATCAATTAAATTGTAATAAAATTAGGCAAAGTTAAGTATTTTTAATGTTTTCAATTTAAATATATGTTTGCACCTGGGCAATTACTGAGATGAATGAAAAATCTCCCCTGTCTCAGCCAGTCAGCACTAAGTAATTTTGCCTGATATGTTATAAATATTGGATATGATGCATGAGGCATTCCTCTACATACAGCAAATGTAATAAAACCTATGCCAAATGGTTGTGGATGCAAGAATATTCCAGCAATAATCTAATACAATTGATGCAAAGAGGTGAGTGATCAAATATTCTGGAATTATTAAACCCAGCATATATTTTGAAGTGATTCTCCTCCACCAAACAGGTAGTACTAGCATGAAATTATCATTTCAAGCCCTGTATACTACCCACTATGCATTCAATATTCATGAAAAAACATTCCATGTCATCATATCAGCACTGTTACAATTCAGCTAAGTTTTGTGATTACACATAGCCAAAGTGCAAGGCTGATTTTGAACTAAGCAGCTACTTCTAAAAGCCAGAACTCGGTGTTTATTACAGTAAATACTGTTCACATAACATGACAAATATCGATCATCGGGGAAAAGAACGAGGTTGAAATCAGAACAGTTGCTTCAGCAAAACGTAAACCAGTCAATTAAAATTCTTAACTTCATTTTGAAAACGTAGGAAAAATATGAAGGAAGGACGGGAAATATATTATCAAGTACACAAATAAAATGGAAACAATATCAAACGCTGCCACAGACAGAGTGAAAATAACTACTGTAAATGATCGAAGTAATGTCTTCTCTGAAGCAAACATCCTCGATTTTAAGCTTCAGAGAAACGAGTAGTACTGTATGGAAAAGAGAAATTCCAAATTAAAAAAAAAAACAATACAATACAATACACGGTTTGAATACTAAAATCTTACCACACAAAGCAAATAAACGTACAATCAAGAGCTTCCAGATTTCAAGAACGAAATGTAGGCGTTTGTAAGTTGATACAGCGAACATGACTCTACATTTGACTATAAACCGAAAACAGAACAAAAGTGAAGAACAATACCCTACCTTGAGGCTCAATTGGCAAATAAGGGTTAGAACTCGGCGAAACTATGGCTTTGTGGCTTTCAAAATATCGTTATTGCATTGTTAGATGCTCCGCCATTTTCAGAATAAGAAACACACCTTGGCTGATAGCATCCTAGGACCCAGCCCTCTTTCAAAGGAATACCCAGAGGGACTATGGGTAATAATGTCTGGGTCACGAATGTGGCTACACACGAAAGGGCATCGGTAAAATTTCATAACCCGTGCTAACTAATGAGACCGAAACTCCACCATTCAGAACTTACTCTTTGACACATCTATTTATTTTTATTGATCTATTTAGTTTTGTTTTTTCGAGGGGGAAGTGGTGGGGGTTGGGGACCGCTGGTCTCGTACCCAGGTCTTTTACAGCCAAGCGGTTGTAAGAATTTTCTTGGTTACACGGTTGGATTTGGGGGACACCATTTGACTTTATTTCTACAGGCCTGTAACAAGTTGGCCATAAACCACTACTTTTTCGACTACGGTTTAACTTTTAAGCTATAGATCATTTAATTATAAAACAAGCAGCATCTGAATGCTCACATCAGGGGACCAGTCAGTAATCAAAATGATTACTGACTGGTTCTTTCAACCTTATGAAAGTTATCAGATGTCCCTTAAGAAATGTAAAGTGATACAAAAATTGTTTTGGATTTTTAATCAACGAAAAATCACTGGGTTTGTGATAAACTATGTCCTTGCAATGTTATGGTATACACAAGCTTGCAAAATGTTGGTCCACTTGAAAACCAAAGAATTTTCACAAGGTATTCAGTAGGAACTGGGAGAACATTCCTAACTGCCGGGAAACTAGTCTATCAGTCAGACAGTGAACATTGCAATATCTAGGTTGATTTTATTTCATTTTTGCCTTAGAAGGATATGAATTCTATTCTGTTCAACTTAAAAGCACAAACCCTTTAACAAAAGATGAAAGGATAAAATTGAACTACTCCTTACTATTCATACTCCCAACAAGTTCCAGCAATACAAAGTTTACATTCAGGATAATCGTTCTCCCTGATCAGAATATGCCCAATTTCAGTCCTTAGAAATTCACCAGTAAATGTAGTGGTTCTGCCTAATGGCTTCAGCAGATGGTCATTGTTTGATGCTGTTTCAAATTGGCTTAAATACAGCCCAATTTAAGCTTTTCACCATTTTAAAATCACTCGTGATCCTTGTAAACCTAATTGGCTGTCATTGGTGCAATTCATTCACAAATCCCAACATTGTTTGCCCTAAATTGTCGCTACTTTTTTCCCAGCCAATGAGGAAGCTTAACTAAGATAAAACAACCAATCACTTGTATAAGGAAACCAATCAAATATCAGGAAAATAAATGACAACTTTTGCAACTTTCTACAACCCAGCAATAACCAACTTGATCAACATAACATTTTACCAACTAATAAATCGTGTATCAGAGTGACAGAATTTTGTTTCTTTTAAATGGATATAGTAGTAATTGAACTTCTTGTCATGCAAGTTTGATATGAAATCATACTTGTAATTTCAAATCAACCCAGTGCTGCACACCTGTTTGATTTTCAGATCATGATTTCAGACCAAATCACACTCTGCTAAGTTGAACTAACATTATTAATTTGACCTATGATGAATGAAGGAACAAGTGAGTAAAAAATCTCTTTTAATTACAAACACCAACCCTAAACAAGGGTCTTCTTTCTCAACTGGGAGTTGCTGTAAACACACCAGGACATCCTAGTGACCATTGAACAAAGGTAACTTCCTAAATTCAAATACTTATTTTATTTTGTATCAATTACTGTGTGATTAAAAATCAGAAAATCCAATGTAACTGTCAATGTTTACTTACTATCATGCAGAAGAAAAAATTCATTATGACATTAACAACTGCATCATAACAGAAACTCTGCCTATACAAAGACAATTATTTGCTGCTCAAAGGAATGTAAAATCACTGAACTAAGGTGCCTAATTTGTCTCCCTCATTAAGCAGATCAAATCCATTATGGTGCAAAAACAAAGAAAAACAAAAGACAAATGATGAAAATATTGGACCTTCCACAGCTATCTTCTGCTAGTGTTGTAACAAAAGAACTACCCAAAATATTCTTTTCCCAGCATTCAATTAATAATATGAAGTGAAAAAGCAAACAAGGCCATAGTAGCAGATAAGAGGAAAATTAGCGAGGTTTGGGTCAGGCTTAAAGTTTTTGGGCTGACCCAAACTTCTCTCGTTATTCCACTCCTCCACTACTTTTGTGCTCTTTACCATCAAGTGTCATTTACTGACTGAATGCCAGGAACAGGCTACCAAAAGAAAAAGTAGTACTGGTGAGTCCTCAAATTAGTCCTCACTAAAGTTCAGGATGTCAAGAATGATTAATAATGAATATTAACATCATGTGAATAACATAATTAGACAATACAGTAACTTAACAACATTTACTTCTGAAAATCATTATTTTCCTTAAGATTTTACAATGTGACCACATTGTTTCTTAAAATTATTCCAGAATCCAGTTTGGGTTCTTCTTGAATTTCATTTTCTTAACAAAGAGCTTTCCTATTTAACTATAACATTAAAGTGTTTAAAGGGAAAATACTTTAAAAGAATCAGCAAAGGCTGAGGGTGGTTACAGCTTGATGCCTTCATTAGTATTCAAATGTTGTTCTAGAAAGCAAAGCTTGCTTCACCCTTTGATTCCAAAAGCAAATTCAGTGATATCAGAAACAATAAATAATATACTTGGACAGTATTCTGAGGCCACCTTCTGTTCACCAAATACTTAAGCTGCACTACAATAATAATAATGACAAAAAGAATAACAAATAGCTGTTTACTGACTCTCTTACTCCTCAGTTAATTATCATATGCCTCAAACTGGTCCCAATACAGAAGAGAATAGCAAACCATTTCTTGCTACATTACTGTAGTACACTGTGTAATATACACAGCAGTATGTCAGTCAAATGTCAAGCTTCATTTAAAGTTTTCAATTCTAACTGGTTCTGCCTCCCTGAATTCACTTTGTGTAGTGTTTCAGATATGGAACAGTTTTAAAAGAACTCAAGAATTAATTTTTAATTATTGTGAAAATATTGACCATCATATTGGGTATGCATCATGTTCGGTGGTTAGAACTTAGCCATTGTAATCCTTGATAGAGACCATCGCCAGTTGTTGCGCATGATGGCTGCACATGCCAGTTCCTATCTCGGATTCTTGTCAGACCCAGTTTTTCTTGTACTTCATGAGGTTTCATTGCTGAAATAAGAGATTACACATGGGAGTGAGAGAAGAAAAAAAAAACACTCACCTAAGTAATACATAACTAGCATTGTACTGTGGGTTTGGGACTGAGCCCTGACTATGGAAAAAAGATAATTCACAAAGAGAAACTGCCTTTCTTCATCCAGGAGTGTATATGACTGACAATAGCCCATGGGTTTGGGATTGAGCCCTCACTATAGAGAGGAGACATGCTGCCCTTCTCCATTCAGGAGTGTACACAAAAACAGAAGATCGTGAGTCTAGGAGCGAGACCTGATTATTGCAAGAATGAATGTTGACTGAGACAATTCTCTTCATTTACACCCAAGAGTATGTGTGGATGGTCATGAAATGTGAAAGTGGTGCATTAAAAGGGTCAGGGAGTCCCCTAGGATAGAATGGCATCCACTGCTTCACTAGCATGCCATGTAGGATGGCCTGTTGTATTTTCCTTTAAGAATACTGTATTTTGTTTATGACCATAAAAAAGAGCTTCTGTTTCAACAACAATCGGCAGTATCTTTGGAATCCTGAATTTAAATGATTTTGTAGGACATCTCTCCCAAAGAAGGTGTGTGGTACTATGACAGTAGGGGTAGTATAACATGATAATTTGGTTTTATTTTGTCCTTACAAAAATGACAGAGAGACAGCTCTAAAAAGCTGTCTTTAAATGCAGTCCTAAATACAACCTCCGCAACTTAACTCACCATCTGGTAGATCTTGTTTGTTAGCAAATATTAAAATAATAGCCTCCTTCATGAGTCTGTCATTTATGATTCTGTGGAGTTCTTGCCTGGCCTCATCAATTCTCTCACGGTCAGCACAGTCAACTACAAATATTAAGCCCTGTGTACCAGCATAGTAGTGCCGCCACAAAGGACGGATTTTGTCTTGTCCACCAACATCCTGAAGTGAAAGGATTAAAATGTTCTTGACTTACAATACACATACAATAACTTGCAGTTTCAAATTTGTATGAAATATCATTACAACCACTGAACCAGACAGAGGCAGTTCAATGGTTCCTAAATTATATTAAATTAGAGATCACCCAGCTCAGCTACAGTAAATTCTTCAACAGACATATTATCTATGTATGGCTTGACCACAAGTAACATACATTACAAGCAAAATGTTGCACAAATGCACAACAATTGAAAAGCAAGCTAAGAATATTGTAGTCTTAAGGAGCAAAAAAAACAAATTATACATCCATCACTAATATGTGGGTTTGTACTTGTAGTCTAATATATCTTGAACTAAAACGACAACAAAAAAAACATTTTTGTTGAACATACAGACCAAAATATGTTGGGAGATAAAATTCACTTAACTACCTGATCATAGCATGTAATCAAATGGGTATGTATCAGCTGTGCACAACATAACTTTCAACAACATTGAAAATTAAGTGCTCCAAACACCAACGATTAACAGCTACACAATTTTCTACTTACCCAAACATTGAACTTTACATTCTTGTAGGATACTGTCTCTACATTGAACCCAACTGTTGGTATTGTTGTCACAGATTGTCCAAGTTTAAGTTTGTATAATACAGCTGTATTTAGTTAAGGAATACCAAAACGTGGAAGAACAATAATAAAAAAAAACCAAAGAATAACAATAATATTTTGCTAACAAAGTCATAGTATCCTGTTCAAACAATGATAAACAATATCCTCAAATTCTGGAATGTTGGTGGTTTGGTTAGAATAGGTAAAATATCTTTACTCTTTGATGGTTTTTGTTATAGCTTCTAGACCAGCGAAGTTCAAAATGTAGAAAATAAAATCCTTCATTGCCAAAAAGTTGAAGGAATGGGAAAAGCTGCTATGAGCAAATCTGCATCATAGCATGTAACATGTTTCATGATGCATAAATCAGTTACAGACAGAAGATATGGTGCACATCCCAGATCATTTTTTTTTTTGGCAACAAATAATTTCTTGAACTGAAGTACCTTAATCTTATATATTTATGCAGTACTTAAACTCTGCAATTGTTGAAAAATGTCAAAATTAAAGACCCTCAAAAAAATGTTACAACAAAAATTAACCACCACTTGACTTTGTCTGTTCCACGCTCATGTAGTTAAGTTCCCGCAAAAATAAGCAACAGTAAGGTTGTTATGAAAAATTCTAACCAAATAGCAACAACCTGATACCACAAAAGAACTCTCGCTTAGCCTCTTTTAAAAATTTGGCAAAACACTTAACTGCACCATACACATACAGATATTCTGTACATGACAAGTTGTCAAGACCTTATCTAAACAAGGGAAATTCAAATTAAAAATAAAATTGATGAATGAGTAAAAGTAATAATTTTTTTTCTCTGCATGCCTTTTTAGATCTTTTGCTCTGGATCTAAAAGGTTAACTTGCAACTGTATCTTACTCTCATGCCAGCTATTTCCAGTGTAACCAATCTCAATCTAGCTAAAACAATTACTTGTTTTTGCAATGTGCAGAAGTCAAATAAAGAAAGAATTAAGAGTCTGGTAGCACAACTGTCCTGCACTGGCTATCTTCGTATACCATTACTTACATGACAGGCCAAATTAAACATACATTTTGATTACTTCTTTGTTATGATCTATTGGAGGACAGAGGCATAGCTTATGTTACCATTAACAACATTTTAGTTTTAATCAAATAACACAAATAGATTCTATGTTGCCGAGGGTATGTTCAGTAAAAGATCACAGATAATGTGAAAATGTGGTGAGAAAATCAGTGACACACTTAGCTGTGCTTAGTGAGCAAATTTTTAGTCAGTACCACATTTTGACCCTACTGTAAAAACAATAGCCTCCATTTGGCACAAAGATAGGCACAGGTATTTTTTGCAGATATTACTAGCTCTGAGAGCTTGACTTGAAGAAACTGTGGACTTTGAGAAAGATAATGTCCCAGGACAAATATACAACCATACTTTTACGCTAAATGGAGGCTATTGTGTTTATCATTCTTTAAATATTTTTGCAACATGCAAGAAAAATGTCTGCAAACAGCTTTCTGTTTGATGTATGAGGTCTTTATTTTTCAGTGTTTCCTACCTTCTGCGATGTCGTGAACAAAAAAAAAATGTCTCTTCTTCTGTACCGATGGCTAAATGCTCTTTAATCTTGAATTAAATTTGATACAAACTCTTTAGTGGTAGGAGACACAAGTTTTGACAATCAGGGGAAATCACTGGGGGTTCATCCTCAGATAATCCCCAGTTTTAGCTAGGGTGTATGATCATGTCATGCATTTAGACCAACTGCACATGAGAAAAAATGTTTAATGCTTTATAATATGAAATAGATGAAAGACAATATGGAATCCATTTGTTAAACAAAACATACAAAGTCATGTAACATTAATTACAGCTCTCTGGTAGGATACTTGTTTTCCCGGCAGCATCAAGACCGAGCATTAAAATTCTCATTTCCCTGTTACCAAATATTTTTGATAATAATTTCCCCATATTGACACTTCGGCAAAGCCTAAAAATGCAAAGAAAACAATAAAGTAACCAAGAGCACAGACTAAAGTAAAACTATGATGCTATTTCCAAATAACTTTCTATTGAGAAAAAGCAGCTGAAGTAGTCATTAAAATTGTTATTGAAAACTCAAAACTTTTTGTTGCGATCTAAATCACACGCGACTACATCGTGAGACAAACGAAAAAACTTAGGTTTTATAGTCGTTAAAAGTTACAACAAAGAAAACGATGAACGGAAAGTTATCCTCAAATCACCAGCCAGTGATTGAAATAAAAGAAGGTTGGATTTATTGCCACAAAAACTATCACGGTTAACTGAGGTTATCTTTCGGACTATCGTACGGTCGTAATAAGGAGCTAACACAAAAACATGCAATTTATATCTACATTAATTATTTAATTAAAAAAACCCTGAAATACTCTCTGAATTTATATGTTTTTAAATCGTTACCTTTGAAATTCTAGAGTTAATGGTTATTACAAAATAAGTTTGCGAGCTTGCCAAAATACGCTAATGCAAATAGCTGCGGAAGCTAACAAAAGACAAAATCTTGATAAGTAGGTTCATACGCATACAAAGTACGATTACTGGAGAAACTATTCCAAAAATGAAAATGTTTCAAGTATTTCGTGGCAATAGTGGTAATCTGCTGAAAGAATTTTATCAACGTTGACAATATCAACTCCATTTAAGTGTGACGTAAAAGCGTTCAGGTTCCTGGCTTGAAGTATCATGCGTGAGACAATTTCTATAAATGGCGAAATTAAAGGAAACGATTGAAAAACCTAATGACGTTATTCAATTTCAAATTCTGAGCATAACTGGAAAATTAAGCGTAAAAATTAGTGCCACATTAAAGACCAACAGATCATTATAAAACAAAAGCCCATGTACTGATGTTAAAAACAACATCGACCGGTTTAGACCTTGCCGTAAGCATGCATATCGCTGTAGAGAAATTCGAGGAGAGAAAATTGCTTCTTAAGGAAATAGGATCATTAAATCGGTTATAACACTTACAAGACGACAGGGATTTCTTCATCCGCAGAATAAACTTACAATAAACTTTAAACCAGACTACGCTGGAGATTACTGAATATTTCGGGAACATTTCCCAATACTCTCCTTACCGATTAGGTAGCGGGCACTTGGTAGCCCCACACCTTAAATATCTTCAGTTTTCTCCCACGACACAGACTTTAAATGTCTTGAAAAATTCCCATCCGATTAACCTGTTATAATAAATGAAGATGAATTTACGATTTGCGGCGTATTGCTTGTTTTGTATGCCTCACCGAGAGGGCGTGCCGACAGGTAAAGCACAACATGGCTGCCAAGCTCGATAATCTCCGAAGAGTAGCTGCGTGGCTACCAAGCTATTCGCCGATCTGTTATCGAGAAAAACCCGAAATACGAGAATAGTCCAGGAGAAGACCAGAATGACCGACACCAACGAGGTGCAGCGCGCCAAGCGGGTCAAACTAACGGATGAGAATGGCCTGGATAACAACAGCATTCAAAGTTTTCGTGGTTTCCAGCTCATCAAGGTCCTGAACGAAAATGCCAGAAGTAAAACTGTCGCCGTTCATGGTGGGTCGATCTTTTTCACTAAGCATGCAAAATTACCAGAATTTAGTTAACTGTCAGGTAACATAAAGAATATCACCTGTTGACCTTTTCACTATACGCCAGATGAACTTAGGCTTATGATAAACCGGAATGTGATGACAGTTCCCGTTGGTGTATTTTTCTAACGTCCGTATTAATAATTAAAAAGGATGACATGTGCTTCACTTTGTAATATTGTTATATCTCGATCTTTCCTTGATCAGGTTATTGTCATTAGTGATGCACCACGTGTAGTCTGATTTGATCTTGAATCTTGCGAGTGTTCAACAATTAGACGAGGGTTATTGCAGAGTCCCATTAATATTTGTTTATCAGGAATAAGTTTACAGACAGAATTAGATGAAACAAAGGTCTGATACTTATCTATTCGCAAACTTGGTGCCTGTTAATTAATAATGTGATGTTTATAGCACCACGTGGAGTCCAATGAATCTTGCGAGTGATCGAGAATGCATGATAGGCATTTCAGAGCCCAATTTGTTTGTCATGAGTAAGAATACAGGCAGAATCAGATGAGACAAAGACCTGGTACCAATTAATCAAAACTAGGTGAAAATTTGAGAAACTATATACCTATCAGACATATAGATTCCTCTGCTCAATAACAGTATCTGGGCAACTGTCCACCCACCCCTCCCCTTACCCAACATTCACCCTAACTTGTTATCAATTGACTGTTGTTGGGTTAGGGGAGGGGTAGGTGGGCAGTTGCCCAGATACTGATATTGATCCGATTCCTCTCACCAGTTATTCTGTAGCATTGTACTTTGACAGTGTAATCAGACACCTGAAATTGGACAGTTAGATCTCACTGAGTATAGTCAAATCTCTCTTAAGCAGACACCCACTGGAATTGAGAAAAGTGTCCACCATTGGTAGAACTGTCTGCTTGCCAAAAATTATTTCTGAAATTGAGACTGAAGAAAAATATGGTGGAAGTTGGCTTACCAGAGAGTGTTATGTTGGACTCTTATTAATTTAAAAAAAATGGACGAGTTGCTTTCCCACAGACAAAAAAGGGGAATTGAGAGGAGTATCTGTAAGTAGAACTGTCCACCTACAAGGGTGTTGTCTCGGAGGGTTGACTTTTTACACAAAAAGATCCATCAATCAATCATTTACTGTAACCACAGAAACAAACTTACCATCTAAGCTGGGAATGTCCCAAAATGAAGGATTTTGTTTCACGGTTTTCAAATTTTTCAAGCTTTTCATTTTGAGAATGCTCAAAAGCTGTTTTTAAATGTGTTTATGGCACTCATGTCAAATATTGTAATTAATTAATAAGTATTAAAGTAACAGAATCACAAGCTATCAGCCCTTCTTTCACGCATTTAAATGTCTTCAAAATTGCAATGGTTATAATTAATTGGTATTGGTAACAGGAATTGTGTTGTCCCATTCAATCAGTAATTGTACTTGTAATTCACAATTTAGTCTCCTGTTTTGATCATCAGATTTTGTCAATCACTGTTATGAGTAAAAACGGAATTGGATTCTGCTTTATCCTAACACTGTTAGAAGTGTCACATCAAAAAAAAACTCCCTTCCTCCTCTCTTTCTAAGGATTTTTAAAAAATGTGTAACTGATATTCATGTTATTTACAGGAAAGTTTGGAGAATCAGAATCTGATGCTGTGGTTCTTTTGGAGAAGACACCTTTTTCAGAAGATACCTTACCACAAATGTTGTCTGCAGAAACTAGCGTTAAGATGGAATTTAACAATGATATCTACAACCAGTGTACATGCCAACCACAATCACGTTTCAATATGTTGAAGGGAACAATAATCTACCCAGCTACAGCTAAACATCTTGATAAATTTTCATCCCAAAATGTGCATTTTGTTCAAGAAACTCCTGATGTTTATAAATCAATTACTCTTCCATTTATTGAGGAAAAATCTTTCAGTATTCAGGTATGTGTGATGTTTTTCGGTTTAATTGCTCTGCGATATTTTTGACTCTTTGGTTTTAATTACCAGAGCCTCCACAAATTATGGAAAATCAGCAAAAACATCAAAAACAACAACAATTTTTACTTGTAATTTACTATTACAATTTTTTATATGTTATCTAAATAAGGAACACAGACTGTAGCTGGTCACCCAAACTAACTGTTGGGTGAACAGCAATGAAAGTTACTTAATAAGTAGTGAAAATCAAAGCCCGAGAAAAAAATTTCAGGGATGAACCCATGACCTCTGTGATACCACTGCAATGCTCAACCAACTGAGCCAACAAGCCAATTGGGAGCTGGTAATTTTTTTGTTATGTAATAAACCAGCGTTAAGTGATGAATGAATGATGGACAGTGATTATACAAATATCATACACGTATATTTGAACTGTGGATTAATCAGTGAAGATGAGAGTGATCTTTGCTGTAATGAACAGTAATAACCAGTATGGAGCATAAAGCCTGAAAAAAAATTTATTCTTTAATTAAGGAAATAGCCAAATACAAAAGTTTTCTTATATTTGTATTATGTACTATTCTGGGATTAACAATTAGCTTGGATTTGTATAGATATTTTGTTAAAAACTGTTTTCAATACTTTTTCTGTTTCTGTCTTATTTTTTAAATGCTATTTTTTTTACAATTTAATCACTCAATTCTTCAAACTATCTCACAAATGCATCCCCAACTTACTAAACATCAACTTACCTACATCAACCAAACTTACATTACTCTAAGAAAACAAAGATATTTATTACTACAACGGTTAATTGCATCTTATAGTTGTGTTAAACTGTTTATAGTACTGACCTAAAACACTTGATATTAAAATTTTGTTTCAGTGGGTGTACAACATTCTTGAAAAAAAGGCTGAAGTGGAACGTGTTGTATTTGAAGATAATGACCCAGAAACTGGCTTTGTTTTGTTGCCAGACTTGAAGTGGGATCAGAAACAGATTGAAAACCTGTACCTGGTGGCTATTGGCCGTAGACGAGGAATTAAATCACTCAGAGATCTTGATAGATCCCACCTACCACTACTGAGGAATATATTGTTGAAAGGACAGGTAACCTAACCTTAACCCTCTCACCCTCAGAAATGATAAACATGTAACTTCTCCCAAAAATGTCCATACTTTATCCAACAAACAGGTAATAAGAATACAAAAAATAATCAGGCTGAAGATGGTATCTTGATCTAACACCAAATTCTCATGATTAATAAACAAGATAATGTGTGGTAGCAAGAGGGGAGAATTAATAATCAGATCTTGGGAGTTAAATGGTTAAATTCAGTCTGAAGATTTTTACTGTTGCTCTTTTTGGTTTGGTGTGATACTTAAACTGTTTTTGTTTTGTTTGTCTCTTTTTTTCTTTTAACGAAGAATGTGTGGAATCATTTTGAGCAAACAAATGACTTTATTTCATCCAAGAATCATAATAGAGAGGATTTTAATATTTTAATATTCACATAAATTTCAAATTCTTGAGAAAAAGAATTTTAAAGACATGTTTTTGGCATGACTCATGCTGTCAGTAGTTCATTGTGTTGCATCTGTTGACTTTGTTTTTGCATGTTACGTAGGCATTAGGCTATCAGTTTAAATCTAATCACAATATTTGAAATTAGTACCATTACAGTAATTTAAGTCAACAATGAGGTGCACAAATATAATACTTTGAATATTAATCAATGTGAAAAATAATTATAATATAAATATAGAACTTTAATATAAATTACAATTAAGTTGCATCCGTGCATTCAGCTCAGATAGCAAGTAGCTAATATACAATGTCCCCTTTAGTTTCAGGCGATAAGTAGTTTTGGCAATGAGTAGTTTTAAGTCTATAAAGTTCAACTGGGTTTAAAAACGAGCTATTTACATAGCACAAATATGTTTTAAGAGAATCCTTTGCATTCTACCAGCTGGCACATTCTCTGCACAGCTTAATATTTTTATTAACCCTTTACACCCTAAAATCAGTATGCCAATTCTCCATACTGCTCTTCATACAGTTCCTAACGTGCTGACAAGAAGAATTTGTTTAGCAATCAAAAGCTTCTTCTGTTGGTTATTTGATCATTTCCTTTATTCTCATGACCCTAATGTGTGATTCAGGGGTGATATCCTAGGGAGAAATTTGGTGCTAGTCATTCTTAGGGTTTATAGGGTTATTGCAGAATCCTTTCAGGCCTAATGATCCAACATTTGAAAACTAGTTTGAATAGACAAATCAACTCCTATGTTGGAAAACTCTTCACGTCTTCACATCTTCACGTCAGGAATTACCCAAGGAGATGATTAAAAATAATGGATCAATATCAGTATCAGGACAACTGCCCACCTACCTCTCCCCTAACTCAACAACAGTCAACTGATAACAATTAAGGGTTAATGCTGGGTTAGGGGAGGGGTAGGTGAGTAGTTGCCCAGATACTGATATTGATCCAAAATAACTATGCAGTTTAGGGGACAGTGCTTATTTACCCTGAAGACAACATATTAATAATTTCTCCTTTCTGTCTGCCATACAATCCATATGATGTAGTTTGGAGAATTTGGAATTGGATCAACTAATAATCCCCTAGTTGATATTTTTCTTAATTCTCATTACTTGTCTGCTTGATATTATACTGATAGTGTAAGGAGAAATTCTGTCCAGGCCACGAGGGTGACTTAAAGAGTTAAGTAGTTTTATATTAATAATATTTTTGTCTTTCTTCTAGGAAGCCATAAGGGATAAGTATGGTGTTGGCAAAGACCAAATTCAGGTTTATGTTCATTACCAGCCCTCTTATTATCATTTTCATGTACATTTTACTCATATCAACTATGATGCTCCTGGCTGCTGTCTTGGTAAAGCTCATCTTCTGCATGATGTGATTGATAATATAGAGAACATTGATTCCAATTTTTACTCCAAGAGGACATTGTTGTGTCTTTTTAAAGAGAATGATAAACTTCTTCATAGGATTCAGCAAGCAAATCATGGTGAAAACCCAACAGGTGCAAAGGTCTAATGAGGACAAATAACCACAGACTTGTTAGAACTTATTTTAACTGATATACGATAGCTTGGTCAGAGCAGACTAGCCTGGAATGGAGGTTAAGACGAATAAAATTGAAAGGTGTTTTGTTATGGTCTCTCTCTACATATTTCCAGAGGAAAATGTGATTTCTTATAGTTGCAGCATCAATGCGAATATATCAAACTACGCTTTCGTAGTCTGTCAATATTTCCGTATAATCTTTATGACGAACAAGTCTCAATAGTACGCTAAGAATTAAGTCGGACGTACAAACATCAGTTTGATCATGCTATATGGTTGGGCTTTCTTGTAGAGATATAATGCTTTTTCTGACTCATAAATTGTTTTATCAAAGCAGCTTCAAGTTAAAGCAGTCCTACCAACAAGGACCAGTATGCTATTCTCACCTTTCATGTCAAAATTTCCTTACCGGTAATATAAAAAACCCCTTCCGCCATAAAGATATTTATTTATCCATTTATGGATTATTTATTAAGCTATTTATTTATTTATTTATTTATTTATTTATTTATTTATTTATTTATAAGTTAGATTGGCCACTCATTCAAGGCAAGGTATCCAACCCTTGATGGTGTCGTGTATGAATATCCTTGTGCAGTTAGTGTCCGAATAATGCAAAGCTCCACTACAGGTGAAGGAAGATGAAAGTAGGGTTGCTCACATCGTTTGGGAGAAATCCTCTCTCAGTCAACAATTTCATAACTATTTTATGTCAACAAGTTCATTACTATGTTGTTTACTATACATACAGAACGGTTCCTCGGACACAGGTTCTGAGGAAGGCAAACATTTCTACTCTATTACAATAACATACGCTCAAGACTGCTCAGGGAAACATTACCCCGGAGAAAAAGGCGGTAGAAAAGCGCGAGACTGGGGAGGTGAGGGCTGGGGTGGTAGCTGACATTGTTATGTTTCCAGCCATCACGTGGGGTTAACTGATTCAAACATTTGTGCTATTATTTGTGGGGTAGGGGTGGAGATTCCTCCTTGGACGAATCTGTCTACTCTGCATATCATTTGCAAAAGCATGTGGTCTAAGTCCTCAAGGTCTGCCCAACACAGCACCATTCGTCAGCCTCTTGAGAACCTGAAGGCTTCGAGCAGCTGACTTCGACGAAAAAGAGGGACTACTCGTTCATAAATTAGCGGTGTAATAACTGCTCAGGATGCTATCCTATAAAAGGTACCGCTAAATTAACAATAAACGGAAAGGTACAAAACAAAGTTTAAAGTTGAGACAACTTTAAAAACATCCATTTCATAGTTCTGAGTCGTTTAATGCATGGCGACCATAAAATTTATGTACAAAATAGTAATAATTACGATTTTTATCGACTACCGACGCGAACGACCATTCAATGTGCGTAAATAAAAACTTGTAAAAGTACAAACGTATGAGTAACTACGGCAACGTGCCACCATGTTCAATAGCCTGTTTTAACTACAGGAATACCAGCTTCCTTCGCCAAACGCGTTTCCTCGGCACAACTCGAACACAACGTAATATGAAACGAATACAGAAAAGCAAAGTTGCGTCCTACTATGGAATGCTGCTGAGTGGGTAAAGTTGTAAACCAAACTTTGCTAAGTACTTTAAGTACTTTCTTTTCGGGCGAGGTCCGTCGTACGAGTCAAAAGAAAAAAATCGGGAGAAGAACTATTGCTGTTGGTGCGCCGCGCGGAACTCTGGGAGTGAGGCGGTAAAAAAAAGTGGCGTCCTTACTTTTCGTGCGTCTCACTCCCAGAGTTTCGCGCGGCTCGCTGGCATTTTTTTTTTTTCTTCAATGATTTATTTTTGACTCGCGCGAATGCCTCACCGAGAAGTAGGGACTGCTCAGAGTGTACACTCCACAAATAGCAATTAAAATCAACTGCAGTCGTTGTCAACCGTTCTTAACGAGTTGTACTGAATTGAACACGTCCTATTTTCTTTTCTCACATAAGCTTCACATTCATTCCTCACAGTTTATGCAACTGTATGGAAAACAAGACAGGCGTAAAAAATGGGAAAATCAGAAAACAATTGGGTATTTGTATGTAACGTCATAAATATTTACAAAATATTTCCTGCTAAAAAATGACAATATCGTGATGCTGGCTATACTATTAATCCTATATTACTCATTTCACTACAATGAGACGTGATTCAAATAAGTTAATATTGATGCTAAGAAAAAATGTTGATAATTTTTTACATACATGGTATGATAAGACGTCATCCCATTGCACATTAAAAAAATTCCAATTCAAATTCTTTTAAATACGAGTTATTTACAGTGCACATTAACGACGATATATGCTTTAAAACTAATTATCTCACAGGTAAGACACGGTTCAATATATTGTATGGCTTCTTTGAAAAGCTAACAATATGAAATAAATAAAATTCAAAGTTTCTTCATATTGACATATCTCGGTCGCTGTGGTTTCGCTGCCAATCCATGCACTGGCTATGTGAGGCAACAGGATTTCTTCTTGCTTTTCTCGTCCCCTTCTTTCAGTGTCAACCCATTGCTTTGTTCCACTTCTGTATCCTCAATTTTCCTTAGCAATCTAGGACGAATAAACGAAAACAACCAAATGTAATTCTAAACAAACGATTGTTGCTAAACAGTATCAGGTTGGCGTTTCAGGCAAAGGTTTGTAAGTTTGCAGAACTTGGCATTTGATTCACGTTATGAAAAACTGGCTCATTAGATAACGTAATTCAAGAGTCTTCATAGGCTCAGCCATTAGGCGCATGAAAGCAAAGTTTAACCGGAAATGTTTTTGTACATTGTAACATTCCGTTTGTTCTTACAAAACAAAGTTTGGCACAATTATCTATATTTTTGGGCGTTTTAAATAGCCATCAATTATCTTTTATATAATAAGCTCAGTTATGCACGCATTCTGATTGGTTCTCACTTATGATCCATTGGAGGACAGACGTATAGATGACGTCATCATTGAAACTTTTTTAAATTCTTTATTTTATAAAACAAATAGATTCCAAGTTGCCGTGCGTCTGTTCAGTAATAGATCACAGAGGACGTCAAAATGTGGTAAGAACATCAGTGACACACTCGGCTGCGCCTCGTGTGCCATTTTTTTTGTTCTTACCATATTTTGACGTCATCTGTGATCTATTACTGAACAGACGCACGACAACTTGGAATCTATTTGTTAAATATTCAACGCGCGTTCATGGAATGATAGTTCATATACTCAACTATACAGTGAGTTAAACAAAGTCACTAACTTTGGTTGATGTGAAAAGTCAGTTGACTAGTTTTTTGACCAAGCAGCGAAGTTTTTCTTACCTTCCCAGCTCAATACAAGCATCTGTTATATTCTTGTTTTCTTTTGAACTTGTTTCGGTGAACAGAGCACCATATTCCTGTTAACATGGAAAAGAACACAGTCATTTAATTTAAGTGAAAGTAGAAGGCGTTTTTTCGCTTTTCGTTTTGTTTTGTTATGTTTTGCTTTGTTTTCTTTTCCCAGTGATTTCACTCTTGCTGCAGTGTTAAAGGAGTAACGCGTTAGCAGCGTTAAGTGCGCTAACGAAACCGTTGGCTAATTTCACTTCAGCATGAAAATCATCTGCAGGCCATTGATATAGGTCACCAGACAGAAACGTTTACCGATACAGCTTGGTAACCCATACCCTATAGAGACCTCAATTTCGATAACTCACTCTTGCTAATTTCTCCCCATTTTCCTCTGTTATAACGGTCTTTCCTTCAGCAATATACGACTGGCGCAAATCAGTCTTGTTACCACACAGCATGATGGGAATCGGTTTGGATGTGCTTTCCTGAAATGATTTAAAATCAGTTTAATGGGAAAATTAAGATAAGCGACGAAGCCATTTATGGGCAATAACCAGTTAGGGAATATTTACCTCTATAGCTTCCACCCAATCACGAACATTAATGAAGGATGTTTCACAAGTGACGTCATAGAGCAATAACACACCGTCAGCTTTGCGGAAGTAAGACTTGGCGATACTTCGGAACCTATAATAATGATAATAATAGTAAAATACATATTTCAAGAGCAGGCCTCCATCACTCTAAGTGATTTTCAGGGGGTCCTCCGACGAAAGAGAACACCAAAAATTTATAGAATTAAACAACAGTTTAAATAAACTAGAACTTAGATAAATTAGCAGAGAGATATTTCAAAACTGCCTTTTATGGTATTTAAGTTCCTACTGAAACTTAAACATGGCAGAGGTCTTTCAATTCGTCTGAACTAAACTGAGACAAATGTGTGAGCAAGGCACAGGTTTTTTAAGATTCCTTTGGCCGAGAAGTCCAATGGAAACCCAATAGAAGCCCAATCGACGCATAAACCGCATCCTTAGTCAGAAGAACATTTTAGCAGCCACAGTCGACCGGAGTTTGACATGTTACGTATCACGTAAAGGAAATTCGCTAGATTAGCCTCGATTCCACTTCACCGATGGACACCAATCGTGCAAGAATTTTGAGCCGGATACGGACACCTTAAAACACGTTACGTCCAAAAAATTACCTTTCTTGGCCAGCAGTATCCCATAATTGAAATGCAATGGTTTTGTCATCCACAACCAGCGTTTTCATCTGAAAATCCACGCCTGAAGTAAGGGAACACAGAGCCTTCATGAATATCCACTTCACTATAAAAATTACCGACCATCACAGAAAAACACGTTATTTAGGAGGTTTGTTTTGCTTTGGCTGAACGAATGTAAACCACTACAGCTTTTCCACGGCATCTGACCGCGTGCACGCTATACCTGAGCGTGTTTAAACCAAACCGCAGTCGAAATCGAGTTACATACCGAGCGTGGAATTCAGCGCGCTGTGGAATCTGTTCCGACAGAGTCTGAGTATGAAGCTTGATTTGCCAACTGCCGCGTCTCCCGCTAAAACCAGTTTATACATGCGCTCTGGAACATTACTCTCTGCTACTGATGCCTTCAACAGAAAAAGATAAACCACTGGATGAAACACTGAACACTATCATAGGAGATAACTATCAAAAAAATAATCGACGATCAAAAAAATTCCCATAAAATTTAGTGTAAAGGTATTCACGCACATTTCATGTTGTACTTAATTATTTGGTCTAAGACGTACCACCCATTACTCGGGCATCTGCTAAGCCCATGGGAGGGGAGTAGGGCGGGGGGTAAAGGGGTGACAAGAATTC